AAAGTGAAATTTTGAGAAACTAGATTGAAATTTTGTTATGAGAAATAGAATACTAGAACTAACATTTAAACAAAAATTGAAAGTTAAAAGCTTCACCTGGTGCAATATACCCCAATGTTGCTAGAGTCTTGGTTAGTGCAATGCTCTCCCCTTGTCCTAAGAACTTTGCGATACCGAAGTCACTCACATGTGCAACCATATCCTCATCTAGAAGGACATTGTTGGGTTTGAGGTCACAGTGAATCACACGCGTCGAGTAATCATAGTGGAGATAGTTCAATGCACACGCCACATCTATCATTATGTCTAATCTCTGCAAGATATCCAACAAATAGTTGTGAGAATACAACCACTTTTTAAGACTCCCATTAGGCATGTACTCGAGTATCAAGGCCTTGAAATCAAGGTTAGAGCAACTGCTAATGACTTTGGTGAGATTCCGGTGACGAATGTTGCGTAACATTTCGCATTCTGTGTCGAAACTCTTGAAAGCATTTTCTTGCTGCAGATTGAATACCTTTGCAGCGAAAACCGTCCCATCTGTCAGTGTACCTTTGTAGACAGAATCAAAACTGCCCATTCCAAGTAAATTGCTTTCACTAAACCCATTTGTTGATCGGACAAGTTCATGGTATGTAATTCTTTCACAAGTAGCTGTGGCTATCAATTCAGTTTGAATCGGAATTTTGTTTCCCCTCCACCAGCTTCTTAAGCACATAAATAGAATTATTGAGGCAAGAAGTATTGATGCGAATGGCAACAAAATATATATCATTTTGTTTACCTTTGATTTGTGAAGAGAACTATTATCACATGGCGGGACTTGTAATCGAGGAGCACCACATAATGCTTCATTTGACATCAAAGATTGACTCATGAAATTTACAAAAGGTACATTGGTCGGAATTTCTCCTCTGAGTTTATTGAAAGAAGCATTGAAATATGTAAGATGTAATAGGTTCTCCATAGACTTGGGAATTGAACCGGATAGGTTGTTTTGGGATAGATCCAAGGATTCCAAGCTTACCATGTTTCCAAAAGACTCGGGAATTGATCCTTGTATCATATTATGTGCAAAAGAAAGACTAATTAAGTCTTGCAAACCACCAATCGCGGTAGGAATATCACCTGTGAATTGATTCATTGATAAATCGAGTAGTGTTGCTACCTTTAAGCTTCCAATCCCTTGGGGTAGATTTCCACTAAAAGAATTAGAGGACAAGTTGAGCTCCAAAAGATCATTGAGGCTTCAAATGGTTTCAGGGATTGTGGAATTTAATCTGTTGGAGTCCAAATATAGGTATCTTAAGGAAGTAACATTCCCTAAGCATGCAGATATGGTTCCAAAAAATCTATTCTCACTCAAAACTAACTTACCCAAATTCAGAAAATGGCAAAGCTCCTCTGGAATGGTCCCATCTATTCTGTTATCCTCAAATTGCAGTTGTTGTATCTTGCCCAACCCTTTAATTGTTGTTGGAATAAGCCCAGTTAAGTTGTTTCCATTTAGAGATAACCACACCAGGTAGCTTAAATTACCAATTCCGCTAGGAATATTTCCCTTTAGTCCACAATTTTCTAATTGAAATGTATCGAGAGAATCAGAGAGATCACCGATGGAGGCCGGAAGAATTCCGTTTAGAGGATTTCCATTTATTAGCAATACCCTTAAATATTTGCAATTGGTTAAAGAAGTGAGGAAACTCAATTCTAGAGATGAGGAATATTCTGCAGTGAAATTGTTTGCTGCTAGTTTCAAAATTTGGAGGAGTCCTAAATTACCAAGTGAGCCGGGAATCGAACCGGTGAACCTGTTGATGGAAAGGTCTAGAATAGTGAGTTTAGAAGCATTTGAGATAGAATCAAGGATAGTTCCAGTGAAGTCGTTTCTGGCAAGATAAAGTTCTTCAAGATTGGGTAGGGTCTGGCTGAAAAGTGGTTCTCAACAATTAAGATCGTTCGCAGTGTTGAGATGTTGAACATCGTTGCTGTGATTCTGCCTGTTAAGCTATTGGAATCCAATCCTATATGTTCCAACTGACGAAGGTTGCCAACCTCTTCCGGTATCACACCTGTTTAGCCATGTACAAGGACATGGAAATGTAACATTAATTCATGTAAAATCCAATCCTATAAATATAAAGAAAACGAGAGAAGAAAAACTTAAAAAGTTCATGAATAACATAACTTGCAAAAGTCACCAGAAAACAAGGGATGTACCTGTCAAGTTATTTCCAATAAGATCAAGCTCTATCAAAGAACTGATATTGAAGGTGGAAGATGGAATGAGACCACCGAGGCCTACGTTAAACTCCATTCCTAATAACTCCAAATTAACAAGGTTACCCATCTCTTGCGGAATTTCACCTGCAAATGAATTTACCATTTGCATAAAAAGTAGTCCCTATGAGCTAAGTTGATCAAAGACCAATTTAAGGTAGTATGCACAAGAATACCTGTAAAGTTGTTTCTGCCAAGCAATAAAGTCTTGAGCATAGTTGAATTCCAATCCCTCTAAGAATTGGTCCACTGAATTTGTTAAACGACAGTGACAAAAATTGAAGTTCCGAGCACTTATATAAACTTGATGGAATTTGGCCCTGTAGCTCGTTGTAAGATAGGAAAAACGATAGCAGGTTTGGAAGACAGTCGCACATGTCCATTGGAAGATCACCAGATATGCCATTGTCTGTGAAAGCAATGACTCACAGTGACGAGATATTGAAGATGGTGACTGGCATAGAGCCTCTAAGCTGATTAGTTTCCAGGTCTAGATGCTTAAGTTATGAAGATTACCAATCCCTGGTGGAATCGTTCCTTGCAGAAAATTGGAAAATAAAATCAAGCTCTATTCCATCTAATCATGTTAAAGAAAGAAGAAAATTACTTTGACATGTTTGAGAAAGATGGTGGGATAGTACCTGTAAACCTATTGTTACTAAGAGTTAACAATTGAAGTTCAGTTAAGACACCCAACCATGATGGAAGTTGTCCACTGAATTTGTTAAATCTCAGTCTCATGAATTTCAATCGACGCAGATGAACTAACTCATCGGGCAGGGAACCACTGAAAGTGTTGTTACTAAGGTCGAGATAAACGAGAAACGAGAGGTTACCCAGGTGTGGAGGAACGGTACCTTCAAGATCCATGTCGGAAATGTCCAAAGATGTCACTCGTAAGTGGCGAGTACCACAAGTGACTCCAACCCAATTGCAAATGGAGGTAGCTGTGGACCAGTTGTTAGCCAAGACACCATGAGGGTCAAAAGTGATATGGGCTTACAAGGCAAGAAGAGAAGATTGGTCACTGGTAATGTTGGGTACACTCTTAGCTAAGCAAGCCATAATACAATGCACTAAGAATACTGCCTGCGAAAGTGCAAAGCAACATTTCTCCATGAGTGCATATGATTAATTTGGAATGCTAACTCAGTTTGCAAGATATATAAACAATGAAAATCTAGGTAAAATGCTAAAAAAACCCCTCAACTATTGGGGTTTTGCAAGAAATTCCCTAAACTATATAAAAAATATAAAAAAATTAAAAATTAAATTAAATATTCCTTGAACTATGTTTTTGTTGCATTTAACCCCACTAGGTTAGCTTCCAATGCCGGAAAAAGCTAAAGACCAATTTATCCTTACAAAGACTATACCATTTTAACTTATATACTTAACTTTTGCATTATACTGAACTTAATGTATGCTGTTGACCAAACCACAAGAACTAACTAAATAAAATAGAGAGAGAAGGAAAGCATAGAGAGAGAAAGAAAGAAGAGAGCAGAGAAAGAAAACAAAAGAAACGGCGTTTGTGGCAAAACAAAATGAACCTCAAAGAGATAGAGAAGAGAGAGGGACACACACACACACAAAGAGGAAAGAGGACGCTTGATTCACGTTGACCATGCTCCCGGAGCACATTAGCGATATGATGAACACTGCCGACGCGAGATTTTGCATAAACAAACGTCAAACCAAACAGTTAGAAATAAAAGAGAGAAACTATATATTGTGAGATATGTAATGCAAGAGTATATGGGGTTTTATATAGGAGAGGATATGGGGAGAGCAAGTCATTACCATATAAGGTAATGTTATATACTATATCATTGCCTTGTCACTATAAGATTAAAAAAAAAAAAGGTCTTTTACGAGTGTCTGGACCCCCCGTGAAAACTTTTTCATGGGACTTTTGAGCCCCTCATCTATTATGGTCCTATAAATACTCTCCACTTGTTACAGAAAATACTAACACTCGCAAAAGATTAAAGCACGACAGTTCTAGCTTCCCATAAATAAAACTCTCACAAGGTTTTTAGCCCTTCGTTAATAATTAATATACGAGTATTTCGACGTCCGTTTTCACGGGACTTCTGAGCCCTCGTCTATTATGATCCTATAAATACTCTTCACTTGCTACGGGAAATAATAACACTCGTAAAAGATAAAAGCATGACAATTCTAGCATTCTGTAAATAAAACTTTCACGTCTTGAAAACTTTTTCACGGGACTTCTGAGCCCTCGTCTATTATGGTCCTATAAATACTCTCCACTTACTACGGGAAATAATAACACTCATAAAAGATTAAAGCACGACAATTCTAGAATCCCGTAAATAAAACTTTCACAAGATATCTAACATTTCGTTAATAATTAATTTACAAGATAAATGAAGTTTCGTTATTAATTAATTAACGAGTTGCTTATTCACTCGTTAATAATTAATTTACAAAACTAATAGCCTCTTATTAATAATTAATGTACGACACATTGGCCTCTTGCCGGTACCTCTATATATTTTATTTACGAGTTCTAAAGCCCCTCGTAGATAGCTAGCTAGCTATATATATATATATATATATATATATATATATATATATATATATATATTTGTATAATAAATGTATTCTGATGCCTAATCATTCACATATATAACTTGGCCACAGTTTCAACTAAACAATAATATAAAATGCTAAAAATGTACACTTAATGCCAATACCAAAAATAATCCATGTTTAAATTCACCATTAAACATATCAAAAGAGTAAGGTATTAATTTACAATTCATTATTAATTGTTCAACATGCCAAAATTAAAAAGAAAATTCAATATTTTCCAAAAATAGATATCAATCTTCACATTGTTTATTAATTCCTGGCGCAAGTTAACTTCCACTTTTTCACACTTCCTCCACCTCGTTGTCCATTGTACAAAATTCAAGTACGTACCTACATCACACAAGTCTTAATTTTAGTATGATAATAATGTATATGAAGTAATGATAAAATGCTAGTTTTCTATTACTCTCTAAAATATTTACCAAGGTGTGAACATAAAAAATAGAGTCCCACACTTTGAGAAGCCAACAATCAAAAACCCCAAAAAAGAAACATGCAATCCGCATGCCCATGCTTTGCCAAGGACTCAACTCCGTCATTCAATCGGTCAATTCCAGATAGAACAAAAAGGTCAAAAAAGGGCAAACACCCCGCAAGTGTAAGTTCCGTGTCTACAACTTGATTACCAGGAATGTCAACTGCCAATAAAGGTTTAGACATAGAATGTAAGAAACATAACTATTATGCTCTTTTAAATCTCTAAGGCATATTGATAGTTTGACATCAAATAAAAAATAACAACTTGAACATGGAACAAATATAGTTAATAGTTGTAAACTAACAATAAAGCTAAACTCATGCTAATAATTTGTTCAAAATGACATATTTGAGAACTCATTGGCTTTAACATAATATATTACAAGAAAAACATATTGGAAAACTTATTAGAATCATATCAACAAGTGAAATTTCTGTATAACATACAAGTTACCAACAGTGGGTTGGTATGAAGTATGTTGGGGTGGATCGAGACCGCATTATAAGAAAATTGATATTTTATGACTTTAATTGACGACATTCAAAAAAAACAAGCCATCTATATGCTAATTCACAAATTATTTTTCCAGCAAGTCATTAAAAGCTAAAAAAAATGGTTATATTGACGGCTTGCACTTAATTTTCCTTTCAAGTTTCTTTTTAAGGCCGGCATTTTCTATTATAACGACTTGTATGCTATATCATTAATATTGGGCCCAAAATTTCTTTAAAGATTGCCACTTTCCCTCAAATATTTGGGCCAAAATTTATTTAAAGACCCACTTTTCCTCCTATATGACTTTAAAAAAATAAAATAAAATAAAAAATTCCCTCACTATAAGCCTAGTACACACGATTGTTTCTTTTCCCTTTGTAAATCCTAAATTTCATCCAGTTTCAGTAAAGTCCCTAATCTACTCCATCAGAGAAAAAAATTAAGACATGAAATTGACAAGTGAAAAAGGTCGGAATGAGACGGGTCTATATCCAGGGAAAGCTTGAACTCAATTCCAGTTTCAGTACTTTGTTTTCTTTTGTTATAGCTTGTGGAGAGGGCGTTAATATGAAAGTGGACAGAGGATCAACGTCGTCACCTCTTTCTCAGCTTCCACTGGGTAAAGACCACTGATAGAGCTACAACTTCTTCAGGTTAGACCCTTGTGCTCTTTTATGCTTATTTCTGTGAATTATTTTGAAATGTTAATTGGAAGGATGTAAATATATATATTCTGTACAAATCATTACAAGTTTAGATTCCAAGGGTTTCTTTATTTTTGTTGATTCAGGTCAATCGGATGTGTTTGATAATGGGTCATCCGGAGATAATTATGAGGATTCAATGTTTGATATTGAGAACCTTAAAAGGTCTGAGCTATCAAAATTTTGTACACTACACATATGCTACTCCTCTATGACCAGCATATGATATTGAAGTTGTACATTTCACATTTGTTGGAAATATATTTTTGTCCAAATTCCACCTTGTTCTTCACATTTCAAATATTTTTAAGGTGATATCAAACTTTTTGAAACACCTGTATCCATAGTTAGGTTGTTGTATTCTCCATAGACACGAATGTTTTGCCTACTTTTATATATATATTCATGGTAACTGACACACATTTATTCCACATCCATGATTCCAAGTTGAAGTGGGTGAAGGATTATAATGATATGTGCATATTATATTTTATTAAATGAGATACTTTTCACAAATTATGTTCAAATTTTGATGGACGACTGATTATAATATTGAATATAGTCCAAACAATCACAACCTTAGCTTCGAAATAGGGCAGCCAAATGTTTCAACTAATAGAAAAAATAGGATTTGTAGAAAATTCTATGTTATGATTGACTATCTAAAAACTTCATCACCTAAGCGGAATTATTTACTTTTTTTATTTATTCTTTCATCGAAAGTTTCAGAAGATGCATACACCCAACCTTGACCTCCATGGACTCTGTTAAGAAAAAACATAGAGATGGGAGCAGATTATTTGTCAATTCAATATGACACTAGTTTTCTGTAAGGCTTCTCTTTCCAATGCCAGATCACTTCAAAATATTTTCAAAATTTTTGGTGATGCTTCTGGATTGCAGATCAACTATCAGAAAACTAGTGTCATTTTTTCTAAATCAGTTCGAAGAAAAAGATCTATTCTTGTTTTGCTTCAATGTAAGGAAGAGACTTTGCCCTTAAAATATTTGGGTATTCCTCTGTGTTCTTCAAGTTTAAAGAGGTCTCATTGTGCTGTTCTTATGGATAAAATTGCAAAAAAGATCAATGTTTGGAGTAACAGTTTGTTATCAGTTGCAGGAAAGGCAGAACTAGTAAAGACAGTTTTTACTCCTATTTCTTTATACTGGTGTATGGTGTTTCCACTGCCTGTAGCTATTCTAAATGACATTCAAAAGTTGTGTAGAAACTTCATTTGGGGTAGTAGAGATAATCAGAAGAAATTTCATCTTATGAGCTGGGATTTGATGTGCCGTCCTAAATTTGAAGGTGGTCTGGGTATTCGAAAGCTTCTTGATTTGCAGACAGCCTCTCAATGTGTCTTAGCTTGGGATTATCTTTTAAGCAGACAGGAGGATTTGGGTTCTTTGGTTCAAGAACAAGTACTCTTCTCAATCATCATATTGGAATGCTATTGGAATACAGTCCCTGAGTTATCACATTCCATACTCTGGAAGAATTCGATTAGTATTAGGAATGTAATGCTTCTTAATGTCAATTTTTCAATTGGTACTGGGCAAGTTTTTAAGCTTCTGACAGATCCTTGGTAAAGGTCAGACATTAATTCAGAAATTTGGTCATAGAATTATTAGAGGGCTCGGGTTCTCTTAGGAGGTTCCTTTGTCTAATCTAATGGATAATGGAGGATGGAATTTGGATATACTTTAAGTTGATAATTTCAGGATTATTAAGGATTATATTCCAACTTTTTCTATTCATGACAGAGCTGATCGTTTTCTTTGGGCTGGAGGTTCTTTCTCCTTCAAACATGCTTGGTAGAAGTGTAGAATTTCTTATCTTGAGGAGGATTGGTCTAAGTTATGTTGGGGAAAAGCAAGGCCACGGTGGTCTGTTCATGGAGTCTTTGTGTTTCAAGATAGGCTTTCTTCTATGATTAATTTACAGAGGAGGAAAGTGAATTTAGCTCCAAGGTACATTCTTTGTCTTCACAATATTGATTCCAGAAATCACTTATCTGGAAATGGATGATGGCTGATACAATGGGATAGAGGGTTGATTTTTCTTCATTCACATTGGAAGATTTAATGCACTGGTTTTCTCAACAATCCAGTAAGATGTTATATACTATTTGTGTTGTTGCTCTTTAGAGTATTTGGCAAGAACGAAATAGAAGACTTCATGCTCACTCATCTAGGACTCCTCAGGAAACTGCAAGGCAAATTTTAGTGGAAGTACTAGATATTTATAATGTTGTTATTCAAGATTTTTTTCAACTAGCATATTTTTGTTTTCTTTTACTTTATTACTGATATTTTTCTCTTTATATTATGTCAAGATCAGTTCCATCATTTTCTGAGGGTATGCCCTCTGACTTCTTGTAAATATTTATTTTTCTTTTTATATACAAACCCCATTTATGAAAAAATAATAATAATAATAATTAGGGATTAATTTTTTAAGTTCATGGATTTGAGGATTTCTAATTCAAGAACCATACTACTAAAACTATTTAGGCATTTGATGAATAAAGAAAACCATTGTAATTGTAGCAACAAGATTATGAGCTCAGTTTTTGTATTTGTAATTTGTCTTGGCATAATTGATCTAATAATGAAAATCTCTGCTTGCATCTCAAAAAAAAAAAATAGAGGTTCAAAATTTTAAATGCTCATTTTGGAATGAAAATTGTCTCTCTCCAATCACTTACTAAAACCTTGATGGATCCAAAAGATAACTGCTAAAGTTTTTAAAATTTGAAGTACAATAAGGCATCAGTAGAACACAAGCAATCACTGACATGTGACCCTCAGGTATGAAGTATAAGTTACACTTGCTCGGATGTTAATTCCTCGAGAGCCTATGTAAACATTAATATATAGGAAAAGTATCATTGAAGTGATGGAGCACTTCTTTACAATCCCAAACAACTCAAGAAAAGGTAGAAATTGTGTACTAGCAACCATGTAGAATCATAAGAGCATAAAAAGCATAGTTATTATGACCTAAATAAATTGCTCCATCTGTGACTATTTCAGAAGATAAAACTTCTAGCAACGATATCTTTGGAAATGACATGATGCAGATCTCACCTTATAAACAAAAGCAGTTGCTGAAAGCTTTGCTATTCGTGCGGATTTGAAGACTCCAACAGGATCCACATGCTTGCTCTCCTGTTGGACAGATGCATATGAACATTATATTTTATAACAGAAGCATGCAACAAACTTTGGAGTTAAACTATGTTCCTTATAACGAACAATAGGAGTGTATAAAGTCAACTCAACAAAGTCTTCCCAACAAATTAAGGTCAGTAACATGCTAAATGAAAGTTTGACCAAAAGTTCTATGTTAACCATCTATCTAATGCAATCCCACCCCTATTTCTCTAAAAAAAAAAGGAGCAGCACATTAGATCCTGGTAAGTACTTTCTATGTATGCTCTTTAGCCCTTCTTGTGTAATTTAATACAAAAATAGAAATTAATTTGCCTTGCTTATGTGCTTGTTCATTGGATTGAGTGTGTAAAAGATGCTTCTCAGATAGACCTACAAAAACTTTCTTGGTCAGATGTCGTGTGGTCTTAGTCCACACAGTTTCATCCATACAAATAATGAAGATGAATATCTTTACCTCTTTAAATGTGCCACACCCAATAAAAGAGCTTAACTACTGAGGATTGCCATGAATGTTAACAATAACGCTATAAGATATCCATAAAAAAATACAAGGAACATTTAGCTGACAAATTCTTTAACAATAATGAGGTTTTAATGATAGAGTATTAATGATGTGCTTCAAGAGGTTACCAAAGGCTTCACTAGAATGCACTTTTTTTGCACTTCGGAGCCAATATCAGAATGCTTGATTTTTCTTCCAAGAGCAATGGCCTGTAACTTCACAATTCCCAGCATACAGTGTAGAGTAGAAACAACTTGTCTCCTCACCAAGTGCCCATGAACAAGCGCCTGCAACCTTATTATTCCTTTGAGGGCCCGAAATGCTCGGCGAGCCTTCACATAGAATGCTTATATATATCTGGCATACCCTCGACAAGTGAATGCCACCAAAGTTCATATATAAAAAACAAGAGCATATGTAAAAAATATTTTAAATTCTCAAAATTTAAGTAATGTAATAGAGTAAGTAATCAGAGCCAGTTGGCAGGAGCAACTTGTTTTGAAGGTTAGCAAAATTACTATTTGAGGGTTTAACAAATCCTTTATTTCTATTCCTTTTCATTTCCTTATCTTACAAACTTTTAACCAACCATGAAATAAGCTCTCCCCTCTCATTTCCTTTCATTTTCTTTCCTTCGAACTATTGAATTTAAAAGCACTTTAAATGCCTGTATAGAAAGGTACTCATCGCCACCAAAGCACACAAAGAATTATTTGCCACTAAATCAAGTAGCACATAAATTTCATGCGTAGATCTAACGGTCAACAATGCATAAAAGAGATAACATTACACGAAATTTTTCACTAGTATGTTATTGTGCAGGAGTTAATATTAGCACTTCATGGAACACGCCTAGTAATTAATAAACCCGTAGCCCAGCAAAGCCAACAAAAAAATAACTTCATAATACTACTTTGAGCCAAAGAGAAGTACCAAATAACCCCTAAAAACAGATTATGCTTTCATGGCAGCTTGTTCTTGTCTGATTCTTTCAGGATCTTGGTACGTTCTGTCTTTCTCTCTCTCTCGAATGTTCTTTCTGTCCCTCTCTCTTACTTAATCCTGGTTTGAACTTCAGGTTCAGGAAATACAGTTGACAACATCACTTGACCAGGAAAGAATAAAGAAGGCATTGCAGATAGTACTGGGGAATAAATTTCCGATTAAAGCAAAAGAGGATATATATATATGCTCACTTGATATTCAGGGACTAAAACGGCGCTTTAAGGCTATTTGCAAGGTCTTTGATGATTTTTTTGAGAAGATTATTGATGAGCATGCTCAAGCTAGAACCAAGGCCAAACCAAGGACTTCGTTGATATCATGTTAGCCTACATGGGATCTCAAGAAGCCAAGTATCAAATGGATCGTTCCTGTGTCCAAGCCATTATGCTAGTAACTTGATTAATTGAACATTTATATCAATTTTGTACTTCACCTTCTACCCCACAAATATTTTTCAAGTAAATAGATTTTAAGCAAATTGTGTTTCAAATTCTGTCCATATGTTTTATTGTCATCCTTATTAGTAAGAAATTCTAAAGTTTTAATTTAACTCAAAATATATAAGCGAACTAAGGCCTTCTTGATAATTCAAAAGTCCTTAATGATATTGTCTTTATAAAAGATATTTTGTTAGAAAAAATTTAGGAGAAAAAGACGTTTGGCAATGCAATCTTAAATATATTTTAATTTTTTTTTCTTTCTAATATTATATCTTATCATTAATAATTATTGCAAGTCTCTAATATAAATTGCAAAGGCAGCAGTGGGGTTGGCAATAGTGGTCATAGCGGTAACAATAGCCGTGGTGGCGACAGTAATTTTAGTAGCGATGAAGGAACAAAGGACCAAGAGAAAATATAACGAACCAAGAGAAAATATAGTACATTTTTTTCGATCTTTGAAATGTATATTGACAAATTAATAAAATAAAAAAATTACTTAAACATAAAATTTGGCTTTCTAAAATGAGTTCCTAAAAGCAACATTTTTTTAACTTCTTTAAAGTGGACATTCTATGGCTCCTTTATTTTTAAGGAATTTAAAAGACTCACCAAATGGTCAATAACCCAACTTTGTACAAGCCTCTCCACCCTAAAGTGGAGATGGGGAGTTTGAGCCTCCATGAAGTTATGGGTGTACTTGGGCATGCTCCTTAGGTTCGGACTGAACTAGATTTTCGGTCATTTTCATGTTCATGTGTTTCAGTTGTATTTTAATTTTTTTTTTTGAACCCTTAAGTTTAGAAAAAATTCTTTTCAGGACATGCTTGTAGCTGGAATCGACACTACAGCAACAACAATAGAGTGGGCACTCTCAAAACTCTTAAAACATCCGCAAGTACTGGATGAAAAAAATCCAGAAAGAGTTGGAAGGAGTGGTGGGCATGGACAGATTGGTGGAGGATATATATATATATATATATTACATGAATGCAAATAAAAACTGAAACCCAATCAATAATGAAATAGAAAACAAACAAACCCAAATCCGGTCACAACCAAAGCAAATTCAACAAATAAAATCGACAATAAACCAGACAAAAAAATATGCATGTGTTAACCCTAAAAATGTTTAGGAAATAGGGATTGAAGAAAACCCTTAAAATGTTTGAGAAAGAGGGATTGCAGATTACCTAAAAAATGAAGTTAAGTCCGGATCCTCGGTTCTAAAGAGTAAAGAGAGGGTTGAACTCTATGTTGGTCAAGGTAGATATTGGTTGAGATCGCTCAACCCTCCTATTCGTGTCGAACCAGAAGATGCAGTCTTCACACAACGGACCTTCTGCTGAATCTGATTTCTTGAAGTGAGACCAGATGATATCGATAATGGAAGAAACAAAAGGATTAAGGCATTTTGGGAGACTGGCTGGGCGTTGTCGGCAGAGTAAGCAACAAGGTCATGGAGTAGCGCTCGTGGGATAGAAAGAAGGGCTCGTGGGAAATAAAGAAGGGTCGGGCTGGTGGGAAAGAAAGAAGGCTGAGCTTGTGGTCTGTGTTGGTGACGTGGAAAAAAGGCCTTTTGGCGGGCTATTCATTGTTGCTATTTCGCGCGCGCAGGAGACCGAAAGTGAGGGCAGGATTTTTATTTTTATTTTTATTTTCGTATTCACAGGAGGAAATTATTCCCTTAAAAATATTTATCTGCAAGTGACTTTTTCCCCTTTAAGTGAGGGCAGGATTTTTATTTATTTTTTTTTTATTTTCATATTCACAGGAGGAAAATACTCCCTTGAAAATATATTTATCTACGAGTGGCTTTTTTCCTGTTAAAGTTGAATCAATCTTCCGTAAATATATGTAAACATTAACGGGCCCTTTAAACTCCCGTGAAAATGGTTTTTAACGAGGATTCTATTAACATCCCATGAAAACATGACCCTTTATGTGTAAAAAGGGGCTTCTACGAGAAAAAATAAAAGATACTGTAAATGCTACCTCGTAAATGCCCACTTTTCTTAAAGTGTGTATGGTAGCTATCTTAACCTACCCTCATTGCCATATATTACCTTATATGGTAATAAGGGTTAAGATAGCTATAATACAAGGTAATATTATATGTGGTAATGATATATTATAGAATATATTCTAACGATACATGGTAACAATATATTATAGAATATATTCTAACAGCCCCCCTCAAAATCAAGGTGGGTTATATGAAGCCATCTTGAGTTTGACTATAATCCTTTCACCCTGATGTAACTGACGTGGCACCGATATTAACGTGGTTGATGACATAACAACTGAAGTGGCAGGTGACTTGGCACTACTGTTGGCTCTTCTGCTGCATGCCAACTAATGTGGTAGGTGATGTGGCACAACTACTGGCACCGTTGCAGAATGTGTCTGACGTTGCACCAATGCTGACATATCAGGTGACGTAGGGTGGATCTGTGAAGATCTTGGAGGTAGGTGCGGAGTGTGAATAGGTGATGAATTTGTGAAGATTCACTGCATTGAAGGTGCGTGTTAGTGTATAATGACCATTGATGGCGCATGGTGGCATGGTGACGAAGCTGATCCAACACGTTTAAGGTGTGGAATTACCGCTGGTGCGTGTGAAAGTGTATAGAAGAGTGGGATTACCACTTGAGGTGCATAGTGGTGCGGTAATGGAGTTGATCCGACACGTTAAGCATCTCTGAACGAGGCATCTCGTTAAACAACGAGGTTTCCCTATACGGGGCATCCCTAGGCGGGGCTTCTCTAAATGAGGTATCTCGTTGGGTTTCCAGAAGAAAGACTTAGACAACGAGGCTTCCCTGGACAGGACATATGGATATCTCATTAAACAATGAGGCTTTCCTATGCGGGGCATCTCTAGGTAAGGCTTCTCTAAATGAGGTATCTCGTTAAGTTTCCTAAAGGAAGACTTAGACAACGAGGCTTCCCTGGATAGGGTATATAGATATCTTGGAGTGCGAAAAAGTGAGTTTGCTAGTTGACCGCCACCGCCGCCGAGGATGGGGTTAATGGTGCCATCCCTAGCAGTGACTGGTAGATTGTTTACCAGAGATCGAAAAGCTCTGATACGATATTAGAAATAAAAAATAGAAACTTTATATTGTATTGATGTATGAGATATGTAATATAAGAGAACATGGAGTTTTATATAGGAGATGATGTGTGAAGAGTAAGTCATTGCCATATAAGGTAATGCTATGTATGATAATGAGGGTAGGTTAAGACAGCTACCATACAAAATAATGCTATATATGGTAACGATATATTATAGAATATATTTTAACAATACATGGTAGCAATATATTATAGAATATATCTAACACAGACCATGCTCTCGATTTGGGTTTTATGAACTAAGCAATTGGGTCTCAATCTGAGCCATCCAATTCGACGATGAGTGTGAAGACGAAAAGGGGGTGTGTCACCAGCCGAGTTAGGGTTCCGATGAGGAGTGTGAGGGCGTCGTCGGAGAAGTTCTGTTTAGTTTTCACTCTCTTGAATTTGGGTTTCAAACCCTCTGTTTCATTCAATCCTGCTTCTGAATTCATATGATAGTCGTTGATCCATCTCTATATTCTTGTGACCCATTGTTGTTGTTGAATCAATTATTTCTTCTCCGACAAATGCTTCCTCAGGAAATTCTTCAATTCTCCAGACAATATGTAATTGTTACACAAGCACACGATATACATATATATATACACACACACACACACACACAGATAGAGGGAGGGAGGGAGGGATAAAGGTTAGGTTGGTTGACAAGATTATTTTTTATTTTTATTTTTAATTTACCAGAAAGATGGCAAGAAGAAAATGAATAGTGTTTGTAACTATATATGCATATATGTGTGTATATAGATAGAAGGGATAAGTGTGTGTATGGGTATAACAATAAGATAAGGTTGTGTTTGGGTGTGCCACTAAGTTAAAGAGTTGTTTGGATGTAATAAAGGGAGGGAGAGAGAGAGGTTAGGTCGGCAAGACTTTTTATTTTTATTTTTAATTTGCTAGAAAGGCACAAAGAAGATGATGAATAATGTTTGTAACTATATATAAGTATATTTGTGTACATAGACAGAAGGGTGTGTTTTTGGTTTAATAGTGACGTAAGGTTGTGTTTGGATGTACCAGTAAGTTAAAGAGTTGTAAGGGTGTAATGGTCATAATAGGGGAAATAGTCATTCAATGCTCATAAGGATATTATGGTCATTAAATATATATTGTGTGGGATGTGTCGGCTGGTGATTATCTTAACGGCGAGAATCAACCAGCATGTCGCCAGATGGAGTCATCTGAAATTTGTATAATTTCGAGATTTTTTTGTAATTTTTGATAGTTTAGAAAATTAGTTGCGAATTTCTCAAAGGAGTTTCTTAAATTTTACTCCGAAAATCGATATTCTATATAATGGTATATATTAATTTTCCTAATATCTTATTGCTGTGATGGGTAAAGAAATGGTTGCTGTGTCTGGTTGTTTAATATATACAAGCGGCCATAGACTTTTCTTTGAAGAATTTTTTGATCCTTTCAAATTGTCATGGTGCGCAATGATGATATAAAGAAATGGACGTGATGCCAAATGGTAATGTTTGGAATGTTGAATTGGAGTCACGAGATTCAAAAAAAAAAAAAAACTATTTAAAAATTTAAATTATATTTTCTTCAATTTTAATTTTAATATTTGGATTCAATCACTTAATTCAATGTTTGTTTGTGTCCTCCTTAATACATTTTTCGATCAACTTCTATATAATTATTTATCAGCTCACTAGTGTGTTATACACGAATTAAATTCTCACCCTTAAATATAAAACATAAATGATATCTTTAACTGTTAAATAAAAACACACACTTACACGTATGCATATACATATACAAATTTGTGTAGTATAAGTATTCTAATTTTAAAATCAAGACTCCACTATAATTTTTTCCAACTATATTTTATCATTCATGCTCCGTTTGGTTGGACGGACAGAAAAATGAATAAGAGGGAGAGGGGAATGGATGGATGAGCCATCCTTAGGCAAGAGAATGTGTCTCTCTCATTTTTTTTGTTTGGTTAGATATAATGAATCGTAAAAATGATAGATGTGTTTTTGTGTATTTTAATATTATTTTTATCAATTTACCCTCATTAATGTAGTAGAGCTTAACAAACAAACTATTGGGAACATTAAAAATGTAAATGATATATTTGTAATTATAACCTTCTTTCTCTCTCTTTCCCCAAATGAAGGAGAGATAACTTATTCTTCCTTGTTTCTTCCATATCTTCCCTTCCCTCTAGCCAAACATGAAAGAATTGTTTTATCCCTCTTCTCATTCACCCCTCCCCAATCATTACCTCCAACCAAACACCCCCTCAGATTCTTCATACCATCAAATATTTGGGAGAGAAAATTTGTGAATTAAGGAGAGACCCAATAACCTCTGTTTCAATGGGCAATTCCCTCAGTTTTCTTGGCAATAAAAATGCATATATATATATATATATATATATATATATATATACTATCATACTCTCATATGCGCAAGATGGAAGCACAATCTATCACAAGAAAAATTGTATTGTTAATTTTTTATTAGTATTATTGCAAATTGTATTGTTAATAAAAAAAACCTAAATATTGATCAAACGAAAAGTCCCTGGGTTATTGTTTTTTTTTAGGTATCAAAACCATGGATGTTCACTTTGCCTTTGCCTCCATTCTCCACCCAAACCAAAAAAATAATAATAATAATTTATAAAAAAAATTTAGAGAGAAAATGTAAAATAATTTCATGCAAATGATACAATAAGGAAATGTCTCAAGTCAATGCTAAATTCTTTAAGATGTGTCTAAGCTATTTGATATATATTGTGTCGCTTTTTACTGTGTCATCATGCCAATGGCAATTATTTGTCTGGTGAGAGAATTCTGATAATAGCATTTTCCTTCTTTATTACTGTATGCCGGCAAAGGCTGAAAGACCAAGAAAAGGTTTGAACAAAGATTGGAAGACTAGAGGTCTAAAATATGACATATGTACAAAAGATGAAGTCTTCTTGTCAAGTGGAATAAATGAGTGGATCCACTTGGTGCAATCTTGGATAGACTCTGATATATGTTCCGGTTGATAAAGATAAGTAGTTTATCAGATGGTGATTTATGAGATGGTTAACAACACCTGGCTTTATGATATGTATAGGTTTATCAAGTGGAGTAACTTTCGGTAATAAGTTGTAATTCAATACCTTAGATTTAGAAAGTATTTTAGGACTCTTTTATGACTCAATAAGTAATTGTCCAGCATCTCAGGATCAATGTATTACATTTCTTAGTTTAATCTAATTTTTTTAGAATATGTTTGGTACGCCGTTTTATTTTTAGTACTTTTATTTTTGACGGTATTGTAGTAATGAAAAGTAAAAAAACACATTTGGTAATAACTGTTTTGTTTTGTACAGTGTCAAAACATTTTGTAAATAGTGGTAAAAAATTGAAACACGAATTTGATTTTTGGGTAAAGTACAATCATGTGGTAAAAAATCGA